TAATTAAATGAATGATTGAGTCCCAGAAGATCCGTACAAAAGTCCCGCGGCCACTTAATTTACACACTTACACTAACGCCACTTACACACTTACACTAACTCATTACAGGCTGGGACCTCACAACTCATTACAGGCTGGGGCATCAAAACGCATTACAGGCTGGGACCTCATAACTCATTACATGTTGAGACCTCTTAACTCATCAAAGGCTGGGACCTCATAACTCATTACAGGCTGGGACCTCATAACTCATTACAGGCTGGGACCCCATAACTCATTACAGGCTGGGACCTCCTAGCTCATTACAGGCCAGGATCTCATAACGCGTATTTATTTAAGAAAAGAACTGAATTCTTTCCAACATATCGGTCCATAAACCTGTTTGTTAGGATACAATTCATCAGATACCTCAAGTAATATCTATTTTTCCAAAATCATACGTGAGCATGTCCAGTATACATGCCAGTACTCCAATAGCTTTACTCTGTCATTACAAATGAGTCGGTGAAATTACCGTTGGACCTTCAGCCGTAGCTACATGGCGTAGTAGAACGAATAGAATGATATTTTCATCGTCTACGGAGCCGATCGAAAGATAACCACTTACACTCGTGAGAGTCGACTTCATACGCGACTGCCATCAGTTTTTTCAATTTTTTTACGCTCGAGTTAAGTGAAATAGTGTTCGAATAATTAAACAAAATTTCATTTCATAACTTTTAATCAGGTTTTAATGAAAACAAAAATTTTTTCGGAAGAAGCACTTCAAAAGCGTACGCGAAGAAAATTAGTTTACCTTTGAATACAACTGAGCACCTCTGCTTTAAACAGCGTTCAAGACAGTAACTGACCGATTCCCTTTAGTTTGGGAACGATCATGAAACTCGCAAGTGTTCAACGATTGCATGCAAGCTTCAAACAGGTGTGATAGCTCGTGTTTTCATATTGATCGTTGCGCACTTCTACGCTCTACCAGTACTAGTAGTAGAATAAGTAGAGTAAAAGAAGTAGCTTGGCTTACAAGCACTTCCACTGTTAGGCTTTATTGCGCCAAAAATCGCGAAAGACTAACGCCCGCAAGACGGAAGGTTTTGATTATTGAAATTCATAATCCACAGTCGGTCTTAGTAGACCAGTCCGCCGTAGCTACTACCGTAGTCCGCCGTAGGCGTTAGCTACTCAAAGAGACGAAATTACAAGGAGGAACAGGTAAACAGCAACAACAACGATGATGTTGCTGATATCGAACTTATTATTATTACTTATTATTATCATTACTATTATTATTATTATTATTCTCATTATTATTATTATTATTATTATTATTATTACTATTAGTGTTATTACAATTTTTGTCATTGTAATAACAATACATTATCTATACAATATCAATATATCAATTATCAATATCAATAATCAATATATCAATATACAATTGTATCAATACATTATCAATACATTATCAATAACACTAACAATATTAGTGTTATTATCGTACATTGTCATACGATAATAACACTAATATTGTTTGTGATCCATCTTAAATTATTAAATTTTTTGTTCCTTTGTTGCTCTAGAGTTGCGCATCCAGACTATTTATGTAGGGATATTACCTGTACCTGGACATTTATTTCTAATGAATGGAAGAGAAAAATTATATTATCCAATTTAAATGTGCTGAATAAAGTAGGTAATATTGAACATGTATTATGCATAGATGTTAAGAATGCTAAGAATGCGGCGCGGTTGTTTCGAGACTGTTGAAAGGAGTTTAGTTTACATTGAACGTTGCCAGCTCAGCGCGAGGGACATTCCATTCGAGGAATGTGGTGTCAGTTCGAGGGAATAGGCTTAACTGTGGGCGACGGCTCCCTATATAAGGACCTCAAAATTGGCGCCAAGGGTTGTTGGTTCTAAGGCGGTGACCGTCACGCAAGCACAGTCTGCTGTCAGCGGACTTTGCAACGGCCGCGGCCGGGAGGCCGGCGACTTCGCCGTTTTTCGAACATTGACGGTCGAGAGGTATCTAGACCCATCGTGACGGATACGATTTCTGTAAGCACGTCAAGAAAATCAACATCAACACTACGGCTGCGACTCAGCCGTGAGACAATGCGAGAGGGCCACGAGTTGCACAACGATTATATTGTCTCTTGAAGGTCTCCAGGGTGAACTCCCTCTCTCTTAGATCCCTTGGTAGTGCGTTGAACAGCCATGGTCCTGCCACGGAAAGTGATCCTTCCCGCAGGGATTGAAATTTGACTGCGGATCTATTACGTAGGGGGGGGATCTTGCACAGTCTCCCCCTTCTCTCGTTGTGATAGTATGTCTGAATCCTGAAGGTCTCGCTCTCGACGTTTGGCACCATTCCGGTTATCATTTTCTATGTGTACAGAATGACATACCTCTCCCGTCTCCTCTGCAGTTAGTAGAGACTCAGTCGCTGTAACCTCTCCCAGTAGTTAAAATTCTCCTTCCCTCTGATCCTGGAAGTAAAGGTTCGTTGGACTCCTTCCAGTTGCCGTATTGCGCCTAGTGTGAACGGAGTCCAGAGCTGGCAGCAGTATTCAAGGATAGGTATTACAAGGGCTCTAAAGAGTGTGATCATCGGTTCACCTTCTCTCGTTCTGAATGTCCACCAGATCCACCCCATCTGTCGTCTACCTTTTGCGGTTATTGCCGGTATGTGATCACCAAAATTGACCTAATTGTTCATCAACACTCCTAGATCGCGAACGAGTCGCTTCTCTTCGATTTCCGAGTTGTCAGGTGCCAGGTAGCGGTGATCCATTCCAGCTCTTCCGGTTCCTCTGTACCTCAGGACCTCAAACTTGGTCCCGTTGAACTGCATGTTGTTCACCAGTGCCCAGTCATATATTGCAGAGAGGTCTTTTTGTAACCTCTCACTGTCCGTCTTGTCCGTGATGGTCATTATTATCCTGTTGTCATCCGCGAATGACGATGCAGTGGCGTGGTTCACAGCCACATCTATGTCGGCGATGTGGATGAGGAAAAGGATTGGGCCGAGTACTGTTCCCTGTGGTACTCCACTCGTCACCCTAGCCACGCTCGATCTCGAGCATCCAACAACTACAGCTTGTAGTCTTTCTGTTAAGAAGCTGTGGATCCATGCCAGCAATTCACCTCCGACTCCCAGCAGTCTTAATTTTTTTTAGTATCACTCTGGTTAAGGTTGGTAGTATCACTCTGGTTGAGGTGGCAGTATCACTCTGGTCGAAGTGGCAGTATCACTCTGGTTGAAGTTGGCAGTATCACTCTGGTAGAGGTGGCAGTATCACTCTGGTTGAGGTTGGCAGCATCACTCTAGTTGAGGTTGGCAACATCACTCTGGTTGAGGTTGGAAGTAGGCTATCACTCTGGTTGAGGTTGGTAGCATCACTCTGGTTGAGGTTGGTAGTATCACTTTGGTTGAGGTTGGCAGTGTCACTCTGGTAGAGGTTGGTAATATCACTCTGGTTGAGGTTGGTAGTATCACTCTGGTAGGGGTTGTTAATATCACTCTGGTTGAGGTTGGTAGTATCACTCTGGTTGAGGTTGGCAGTATCACTCTGGTTGAGGTTGGTAGCATCACTCTGGTAGCGGTTGGTAGTGTCACTCTGGTTGAGGTTGGTAGTGTCACTCTGGTTGAGGTTGGCAGTGTCACTCTGGTTGAGGTTGGCAGTGTCACTCTGGTTGAGATTGGCAGTGTCACTCTGGTTGAGGTTGCTACTTTATCTTATACGAGAAGAAGGTAGTGGACTGTAGTGAAACGTTAGAGGACAGCATGTCTTGGTGTAGTCCAAATCTCAGCTCATTATGCCCTAACATTTGTCCATAAATAGTCATATCCTCATATTGTAGCATATTTCAACAAATAGCCTCATATCGTAAACTATGTCAATAAACAGCCATAGCCTCATATTAGTGGCAGCTGTAACACGCAGGTTAAATTTCAGGGTTTGAATTTCGTCTGATTTTCAGTGACCAGGGTTGCTCGGAATTTAAATCCGTGATTGGTCGACCAGTTCTAGCTGAAGACAAATATCAATGCAAATTTTCTTTTTCAGATTGCCCGCAGTAAATGAAGTGCTTCACTAGCAGCTGATTTCTGATTATATAACGTTTCGAGAATACCTAGCACAGCACGACTGGCGCTACATTTTCCAACAACAACAATTCAGCGTTTAGTCTTCATCGTCTGAGATTCGTCATGAACTAAAAAATTTAGGTTTAATTCTTTCTCATTTATTCACAAGATTGAACATTTGAGAAAACCAGTCCTTCTTTTAAGCATCAAAGAATTTGTCAGCTAACAATATTATTTGAGAGAAAAAATTTTTTTTTCACGGGTTAATCAGTGATTTCGATTTCATCTAACACCTGAAATTAGAAGCAGGAATCGAGGATAAGGCCTCACAATGTAAATACCGGCAATTCTCAATCTGCACTATTTCATCCTGATATTTTTGTAGTTTCATATCAATATTCAAGCCCAAAAAAATAACACTAGATATCACTCGTTGGTTATATGATATTAACATAACGCAATTCTCTACACAACCATTCCCGGTAAAAGCTGAATGCATAGTGGCTGAATAGCTTTAAGATGAGGTTTAGCTTAATGGCAGCTGTGAGGCCACTATACTGAGCCATACACGTGGGCCACCTGGGCCCCATGTCGACTGTGCAATAAAGCGCATCCGCTGGTTACGCAAAAACCCAACCCTAGACCTGCAGGGAAATTTTGGTGAACAACGAGAATGCAAACCAAGCAATCGACACTGATATTTCAAGCTTTAAACCCCACCCCCACAAAATGAATTGAAAAACAAACTAAAACACAAACATTTCAGATGGAGCTACAAATTCAGAAGGTTCATAAGTGCTCAAAATAGTGCTTTGCATTCAATACAGGTTTTGGAAATTTCTAATATTTATTATTGAAAAAAATTATTATGCAAATAGGTGCAACCGTTCTTATAATAGAATGAACCTCTGACTAGAAGAACCCCAAAGTACTGAGGCTGTTGATAACTCTGGATATGACAGGTTCTTTGTGCCTCAAGATCGCATCGTCGCGCACGTTGAAATTCTTGAAACCGTCGCACGAACTCATGAGTTCTGCTACGCAGTCCGCTCGGTAGTGTTGGAGTTGCGCGTCGTCGGTGTCAACAGAGTAAGATAAGCAACCCCCACCTATACAAGCAAGTGGATAATGATTGTGTAAAGTCATCACCCGTTCTGTATTATGGAAACACTTGATATAATGACCAGGTTGCGAGTGGTTCATCGCTCGGTAAACGTGTTGATACATGTGCATATAGTGAGGTATGTCGTTGGGGCGTACGTGATCTGCGTTTCTCGATTTCAGCGTGTCAAAAAAGTAGACATTGCGAAAGTCGTATGATGAATATTCGATGTTTTGTCCTCCTTGTGCCGTTTTTTTTATTTTTTCCATGAGATCTTTCCATAGCATATTGCTTCCTTTTGGCATGATAATTTCGTCAATGTCAAGCAGAGCTATGAACTTGAACTTGTTCATGTTTTTATACAGACAATCGTTGTATGGAATTAACTCGTTTTGATATTTATTCGTGATTCGTTTCATCAAATACATGTGTCTAATTCCCTTGATGTTAGGTTGATAGCCCGGTAGAGTGATCGATATCACCTCTATCAAACCCAATTTCTTGTAGTAATTCAAAACTTTTGTGATGTTCGGATGAACTTCCAGTTCATAGAGAAATATTTTCTCGGCGCCGAGGTGGCGCAGCGTCTCGAACCACTCCACGAGTCTCACACTTAAATCCTCTTTCGGGAAATCAAGGCTCTTCACGCACACCGCAAATTCACCTTTTTTTCCGCCCTCAGGCAAGTTGTTAATTACCATCAAGTTAGTGACGGCCATGTCGCAAGGTTTTTCAACGAGTGACACTGATTCTGGTACAAGATGGCGATAGTCAACTGGAATTTTGCAAGACCACAAGTAAGGCTGGAAAAGTCCTTTCTTGTGATTCCCCCACTCTTTTAACCAAACGAACTGATACTTAAAAACCTCGGCAAAAACAGGAGCCTCCAATCCATCAAACCACAACTGGCAAATTGTTTGCACTGTTGGCTCAATTCTATTAATCATACCAAGCATCCTAACAACAGGTTCCATAGCTAATAGAGTTCTGTTATCGTAGTAGGCACCGTAGAGGTGGAAAGTTCCATTTGATGTCTTCAAAGTTTGCCAGTACACATTATTAAATTGCAAATCAATGAGCGAGGGGAAAATGGCGCATGTGGCATTCTTGGCAGGAAATTTGTTGTTCAGTGACTGCCAGTACCTGATAGGCAAATTAGGAATTTCGCTCTGCAGTATCTTGGCATATTCTGAGTCGGGTAGAGACGGTGAGTTGTCAACCAAGGGCTTTGCCATGAGAAAGTTGTAGTGTTTTGACGATGACACATCTCTCGTGTTGACTTTCTGCAGCAGAAGCCGACCCCTCTCTGTGTAGGAGGGCCCAAAATTCGTCGTGCGAGAATACCTGCACAAATATCCGGGTATTGGTGAGATGCATGGGAGTAGAAATGAAATGAAATTTTAATGCATCAGGACCCATTAAACCGTCAGCCAACATTTAAATAATAGCTATCATTTCATAAAATCCCATAAAAATAATCCATTAGTCCCTGAAAATCAGTTAATAGAACAAACTGCCTGTTATGGAAGAACACCATCATTATACACACAGTATCTTCACAACCTGACCTATACCAATAGAAATTGGCGCAGACATCGACAACTGGATAAAACACGCACAGAACGCCACATAAATCTTAATCACCTCCGTAATCCAGTGCAATATTCCCGGCATAAAGCCAACGGCATTAAACCCACAGCATAAAAACCAATTAAACATCAAGCCACTCTTCGATACGTTCTCATACACGGTCTAGCATTAATACTTGACAGACAACTTATCAATGGACGCCAACTACTCCCATCTTACAAGCAACTCCAAACTCAAAAATAAAAGGATCGCGTGAGCACTTCTAAAATAAACAAATCCCTTGAAAATTTTGGTCAACCCTTCAAACGCATTCTAGGCCCCAACGCCTTGTAAACCTCACACGTAACGATACGCAACACGACACACCTGAACAAAAAGAACCCAACTTAAGCAAGCAGTACGTGGCCAGACACTTTCACATAGAATGATAGATACAGATAACAAAGACTACAACACCAAACACATCCACACCTTACAAACCAGGTAAACAACAACATACACCTCATTCATCTGCACAACGGTGGAAAACTTTAGCCGAATGCACCCAGTAGGCTTTCGGCGCATAACCGTTTAATTAAGAACTTCGCGTACACTGAAACCAGAAAACTCTTGTCACCAAAGGCATTAAAATCCTACAACTCAAACACCTACCGAAAATATAATCCACTACCTAAAATACATTTTCAATTGAAGAGTGTCTGCATATTGGACATGTTATTGGCATGTTTTGTTATTTGCATGTTTTGTGGGTTGACTTGATTTCGGGAGTTATGCATTATGTTATAGTGAGAACTGACATTTCAAATAAGTCCGTCCATGTTTTGTCCCACTATACATAAATGTGCGTCAATTTCTTCTGATGTCGGGTTATGTGAGTATTGGGTGCGTTGATTGAGCTTCTTTGTTTGCTTGGTGGAAGGATCAGAGAGAACGAATGTGTACTTCAATGGGGTTTGTTGACATGAGTATTATTAAGGAAATATCATTGGAGAGTGTGTGTGATGTAAGCTGGTGGATGTTATGAAATGCCTTGTTGTTGTGTATGACTCTCTGTAGAAGGAATGTTGTTTTAACTAATGACGGTTGGCAAGTATAGGGGCCGATGTGGGCACATTTGCGTTGGGGTATTAATTTTTTTCTCTTTGTGTCAAGGTCTCAGTTGTGGGTTTTGGTGGCCAGAGGTAAAAAGTTGTTCTAGGTGATTACGTCGACAATGAGCAGTTCTGTAACGTTCAATATCTGTTTAATATCTATGTCAAGAATAAATTTTGTTCTCATATAAAAGTCGTTGCTGGCTGAATGGGTAATTTCGGCACGTGTCCTGTGTTCACGGTGACAATTAGGTCATTTTTGTATTAAGTCATCATTAGTTTATATGTATTGTTGCATTGTGCTTAGATGTGATTGGGTGGCTGTGTACTCAGAGCCGAATTGTCTTGATGATATTGTTGGGAACGCCCTCGGTAAAGCAAAGGGCGCTGAAAATAGAAGAGATTTCAATCATACCCTTCCCCCACTTCTGGAATAACTTGTTATTGTTCCAATTCCGTAGGCTAAAGTGAATGGCTTTGATCTATATATTTTCTGTTCTGTACCTACTTGTGTGCGTTTATTGTATTAAGTGAGCAACTGGATATTTGTTAGGATAATAATCCTGACAATGTGTATATAAGAGAGAAGAAAATAAGGCATTCAATTCGTCGCATATGAAACTGTTGCGTTATAGAAATAATGGACGCAACCACATTACTCCCAACTTTAAAATCTAGTTTAGCTAATACATAACGAATATGCCCAATATTATGACGAAAACCAGGTTTTCTTTATAAAGAATTATTAAACTGCAGTGAAATGCGAGTATAAGAATTGACATTCATTGCAGCGAAATGCAAGTATACGTACCTTCATTGAATGTGTCAATCAACATCGAACTAAATGGAATTTGCTTTCGTAGATCGATCGTCAAAATTAATGGAATTACAGCGATATACATATAAGGCTTTTTATCGCATTGGCTATACTAAATTTCATTAATGAACCACTTTTGGACGGAATATTTAGTGACGACGGTCATCGATTGTAAGCAATTCTTGCTCTCTAGAATCAGAATAATTAGTTTTAGGCAACCAAAGTAAACACAATGAAAATTAATTTTAAAATCAGATAATCTAAAGTGATCTACCACGACAAAGGTCATGAATTGTAAATCAAGCCAATGATCATAAACAATTTCTGCAATGAGAGAGCAGCTAACTATGTACTCAAATTATAACAAAAACGATCCTGATGTAGGCACCTATACACTAGCAAAATTGATTCATTATTATTAATATATACTAGAAAACCGTGTTATTATTACCCAAAGAAATATGTTAATTAATAAAAAAAATTAGATTAGCTAATTTAGGTCATATGAACAGAATTAAACACATAGCGTAAAAACATAAAAAATGAACAGAGAAAAAAGAAAAAATAACCGAATCAAAAAGGATGTATAGCTAACCACAAGTGCGGCTTGTACCTGAAAACGGCGTACAAGACGAAGCACCATATCAGCCACGCGCAGAAGAGCTTGCACGCTCTCCACCTGAATGTACGGACCAGCTTCATCCTGCGCGAACGAGTAATAATTAATTTTTTTAAAAGGCCTCCCACACTCACCATTCCAACAAAAAGGAATTAATTTTATTAATTAAAAACAGGGAATGGTTTCATGTCAATGATCAGGGCCCCGACATTAACGCCTCTGATGGTGGCCTACACCGACTCCGAGGGTCACTGAGCTGTGACGCGAGCGAGG